ATAGGTCATTATGTTTTTTATGCAGCCATGAGTCCCGTTGAAGCCGATATAGGATTTTAATGAACTTGCAGACAGGCAATACGAATCTCCTTTGCAAATATCTTTCTCTGTTGAATACAGTCATGGGAGATAGCGTTAGAGCAAGAAGAAGCTGTACAATCAGTTGCTTTTATACTGTATCTATAACTTTAATTTAAAAAGTAAAAAAAAAACCCAATGGGGATATTGATTAAATGTTTTGACAGAGAAAGACTAGAATTTGCTGTTTTCTTTGACCCATTATGTCAATGAGAGATGTTTTGCTTCTCTCATGCTTTCCCCCACTGCCAACTGTGACTTGTTTACTCTGTATCATTATGAAGGAATTTGTTCAACCATTTTGTAACAGTTTTTAGTTGCACTATAAGATAAAATTCCCTTGCTTCTGCTCAACTGGCTTTCTCATCTGTCACTTAGCTGGCAGCCCCTCTTAAAAAGCCAGAGGATGCTGGTGACACTGGAGCTGCATCGTGGGGATGGAGGATAATCCAGCCTTGGTTTTAACAGCCCATCTTCAGTCCTGCCACAACTGTTCCAGGTTGCACAGGAGCTATCCAGATGCTGAATCTACATTGGGAGTTAAGGTTCAGAACCTGGATAGCTCTCATACCATCTGCAGAAGCTGTGTTATAAAAGAGAAAAGAGATGGAGTTAAAGCCAGGGGTAGTTTACTCTACAGATCCAAAGTTACTAGATGCCTCTCCTTGGCTGAATCTGCACTGCAGAAATAATGTAGTTTGACACTACTTTAACTGCCATGGCTCAATGTTATGGAATTCTGGGATTTGAAATTTTGTGAGATTTTTACCCCTCTTTATCAGAGACCTCTGATGCCAAAACAAGCTACAATCCTAGGATTCCATAGGATGGAACCATGACAGTTAAAGTGGTGTCAAACTGCATTATTTCTGCAGTATAGATTCAGCCCTTTAGGCTGCAGAGAAGGACTGATAGAAGCTGGGCTCTTTTATCACCTCTGTTTAGAGACAAGATGCCTTTGGCTTTCTCTAGCTTTTTCCTCCTCCATTCCTATCCACTTTTCCTTGTGTGTCAGGCTGGGATTGTCTTACTACTACTATCTGTAAGCCATTTTGGGAGCCTTTTGGCTAATGAGACAGATAAACATGTTTTCTCTTTTCAAAAACCTCAGATATAATAAATATAGCCATCATGAACTGGCAGTGCATACATGTCCTAGTCATACTGTTATTGAAAGATACACATACATAGATTTGGATAAAATTAGATGCCAACACATTCCCGATTCTCAATAACAAAGACTGAATGCACATACTCTTTTTAAAGTATCTGCTTCTATCTAACCTTCCATCATTGATGATCATAGGATCAGGTCCTGAGCAAATATCCTCTACAATGTAAGAATTTTCTGAGCAGGATACATTGAGGGATGTATAGTTAGGCTTGCATACAGTCAGGAAATACGGTGTTTGATACCCAGTCGACAGTTGTATAATATCAGTGATGAGAGCAGTGGCACAAAGGCCAAATACATGGACACCTAGGGAGGAAGTAGGAAAAAAACTTACATCTTTGCAAGAACAGATACAATGCTTCATTTTTGTCCAGGGGTGATAAACTGGTGGCTTGCTGCCCAAATCTGTCTCTCTTCAGGGGTAGGCAAACTGTCCCCTTTAAGGGCTGAGGGACTTCAGCTCCCAGAAGCCTCAGCCATGTTGGCCAATAGTCTGGGATTCTGGGAGCTGAAGTCCGTTGGCCCTTAAAGGGGACAGTTTGCCTACCCCTGCTCTAGATGCATGATAGGAGACTCTAAGTGGCCCTGTCATCTTTTAAATGATGGTTCAATAAATGCCTGTTTTCAAAGAGGACAATGGTTCAATGGTTTTCACAGAGGACAATGGAACAGAAAATGTTTAAATGTTAGCTTTCTTTTGAGTTGCCTGTGGAACATGCAGCACCTTTGTGCATGTTCTCCATAGGTGTAAAAGTCTTTCTTTTTTCTTTTTTTAAAAAAACATCAGCTTTATCATCAGGGCTGGCCTTGCCTTTAGGCAGAGGGAAGTGAGGAGGGGACACCTGGTTGGGATGCAGCAGCAGGATGTTGGAAGAAAAATTTGTGTCCCAAACTGTATACACTTGTGATTTATCCAGTAGTGGCTGATGGCTTTTATGTCAGGTGAATCAAATCTGAGCTTTAGCCTGAAACTTTTTTTTCTTAAAAAAAATAATAATTGTAGGGGCAATTTTTCCAAGTATTAGGAAAATTCAAACATAAATTTTGTGGAAATGTTCTTCCTGGACTGGACAACTTTGTGCTACAGGAATATTCACATGTTTGAATGATCAAGTATTCTTAAAAGCAAAGGAAAACTGTCCATATGAAGCAGGTAACAACTCCTCAGATAGGCAGGAATAATTGCAGAGACCAGCTGAAGTTCAGAAGATGGAAATTTATTGATAATAACGCTGGGCCTCTAGCATAATTGCAAAGAGAGCGGCACACTGAAATTCAGAACAGCTTTTATAGGCATACAACAACAGGAAAACCTTTCTTTCTCTGGCTCCCCCCCCCCCCCCGATTAATTTCATAATATTCAGCACTTCTTGTTAAGCAGACATTGTTTTCAGTACATAGGAATCTTACGTAGAAAATGTTTACAGTACAGGGAGTCTGCGGTGTTATCAATGCAACCTTGACTGCAGTGCAGAACATCGCCTGTTCTTAGCTGAAAGAACACTCAGACAAGAAAATTTTCCAAGTCTCATTCAGAGTCCCAGTTGATTATCTAGTCTGACCCCGAATCATAGGCAATCATGGACAGTCATTTTAAAATACTAATTTCAGGCAATTGGCTACTTCACATATATGTGATATTTGCAGAGATTATGTAAGCAAAAAACATATTATTTCAGTGTGCTAGCTTTCTTGTTAACCCATCGTCCATTCCTTTCCCTCTTTCCTGCATCTCTGTTGGATTATGAAAATTGTGTGTAGGGGCTTTTGATCTCCATATATCACTTAGAAAATGCTATGTAGAGATCTTGTAGTACAGGGGTAGGCAACCTTTCCCCTTTAAGGGCCGAGGGACTTCAGCTCCCAGAATCCCAGAAGCTATTGGTCAACATGGCTGAGGCTTCTGGGAGTTGAAGTCCCTCGGACCTTAAAGGGGAAAGGTTGCCTACCTCTGTTGTTGTACCTTTGAGACTAACTGAAAGAAAGAAGTTGGCAGCATGAGCTTTTGTAAATTTAAATCTACTTCTTCAGAGGCATTAGAAAATGTTAGAAATTTTGTAAGTGAATCACCACCACCAATCTCCAATTTTAAAAGGGCAAACATCTCACAAGATGTTTTGAGAACATGTATTTTGAATCTCCCCAACCATTCCATGGCCATAAGGAACAGAAAGTTTTGTGGAAGCAGGGATACTCGTGATAGCAACATCCTCATAGGGTCTAGTGTAAAATGTTGTGAGTAGAGAAATCAGTTGGCCTTGGAGGCCATTTTGGAAGGCATCCCTGCAGTGAAGATAATTATAAATCCACTCCCTCATGTTTCTGTGTTCTTAGGTTTGAAGTTGTAACATACTCATCTGAATCTAAAAGACCATGTCTAAAGAAAGAATCAACACCAGGAATTCTTCATTTAAAAAGACTTGCTAAAACTTACCAACAAAACGGACAGCTCTCCTAAGGAAAGAGTTGAAATTGCAGCCTCCTGCATTGATATTGGCCTCTGTGCCAATACCATTCCGACGTTTTGAAAGGCAGCAGTAGAGAATGCCTTCACCCACCATGATCTATAATGAAAAAGCAAGAGTGTAAGAGAGTTATTTGACCAAGATTGAAAGGATTCATACATAATTGTAGAACGACCTTCAATCAACAAAGTGTGTGTTATTAACATTGCTCCATAGACACCTACTGATTCAATTTTCCTGAGTGAGGGCAGAGAAAACGGTAGCACAGGATGTGCTGTATTTTCATTATGATGAAAATGTCTTGTTTATCATAGAGGTATACTGATCCATTGGTTGAGATAACAGCTGAGCTAAGATCTGTTCCAGCTCCCTGACACTGGCTCATGGATTTTGGGACTGAAACAAACATTTTAATAATTATAAAATCTTCACAAAGAACTAAACATCTACCCAGCTCTGCCTTTGCACAAACAAGCGTTTTCTCTGAAAAAGGGACAGGAACAATACATCAGCAAGCCCAAGGCTATTAAATAAATTTTAGAATAGTACAGAGAGTTGAACTCATATTTTAAATTTGCAAATATAACATGCTTGGGGGCTCTTTAAATGTTTTGCATTATAGTTTTCATGATCTCTTACCACTGGTCATTATGGCTGGGGCTTCTAGGAGCTGAAATTAAAATCCTAAAGAGGGCCCAAGGTTCCCCATATCCATAACCAGTGCTTCACATTTTGAAATGCCTTTGAACATTCTAATCAAACCAACCTTGTCTCACTATGGGTTGGTTTTTGTTGTTGTGTGCTTTCAAGTTGTTTCAATTTATGGTGACCCAATCACAGGGTTTTCTTGGTAATATTTGGTTTTTGGGGGGTGGAGGTTGCCTTTGCCTTCCACCGAGACTAGAGAGTGTGGCTTGCCCAAGACCACTCGGTGAGTTTCTATGGCTGAATGGGGATTCAAACCCTAGTCTCCCAGAGTCCTAGTACAATATTCACATTGGATCATTCTACTGCTCATGATGTCACATTTCAAAATAAAGAAATTAAATGTGGGAATTTTCCCCCTCCATGATACTTATATGCACACTAAAGTATGATCCATGGGCTTTGTTCTGAAGATGTTTGTTATTGTTGTGTGCTTTCAAGTCATTTTCTATGTATGGCAATCCTAAGGCTACTCTATGATGGGGTTTTCTTGGCAAGTTTCTTCAGAGAGGGTTTGCCATTGGCATCCTCTTAGCTGAGAGAATGTATCCTGCCCAAGGTCATCCAGTGGGTTTACATGGCCAAGTAGGGATTTGAATCCTGGTCTCCAGAGTCATAGTCTGAAACCACTACACCACTCTGGCACTTATCAGTGGATATGTACACAACAGTGAGCCAGAGGTGTTTGTGGGAATCTATGGAGTAGAAGAATTAGACTGCATAAGAAGAGTTTAAAAAACAGCTGTCAAAAAGACCTTGACAATTAAAGGGCATGTGATACTTTTCTGCAACTGCATGAGATGACCTGACTTCCTTTGCCATGTTTTCTGTGTTTTCAAGGTGTGGGGAGTTGGAATGTTTTAATTGTTGTATTTTTAAACTTGCTGTAAGCCGCCCCGATTGCCAAGCAGAGGGGTGGGTTATAAATAAAAATTATTATTATTATTATTATTATTATTATTATTATTGCGCTGGAGATCGTAAAATCAATCACAGCAGCTGAGTTCTGGTAAGTGAGGCTTGGGAGACTAAACTAGGGGCTATGTAGGAATCATATATAACAGTCACTACTATGTAACTTTAGGTTACCTGTTCATAACTGTGACAGAGGATTTTGGACTCTATGGAGCCAGGGAGATTAATTAAACCAGTGAGCAATTTTCTCCTCATATTTGGTATTGTGTAGGATTTGCAAAATAAATAAATAAATAAAATTTTAAAAAATCCCAAAAATATCCTGCCTTCTGTGCAGAAAAATGAGCTTCCTGAGAAAACAAGTTTTCTGTGCAGAAAACTTTTTTTTAAACCAACCCTGCACATTTTTCTCTGCAAAATAATTCTTCTAAAACACTTTGAGGTGTTTGACTATGGAGAGAATACTGTAGAGGAACATTCATTTTCTCCCACAGTGGGGAGAAAGCAATTATAATTATTCATCCTCATATGCAAGGATGAAATAGTTGAGGATTTACATTCCTGCTATGTAGTGAGGGTTTGTTCTCCATAGGAAAGTGTCTACATAAAGTACATTAATTCTGAAAGCACACAGTGAGAATGCAGTGAGAAGAAAATAATGCAGTGCAAAGTACTACTGTTCACTGTTTCAGCCAGCCAGCCAGCCAGCCAAACAGCCACAATCTCTTCTACAATATTTCATTCTATTTCCACTCTTCCTGTTTTCCATCTTTCCTACAGAATCCCCACTTTTCATTAAATTGCTTTTGCAGGGAGTTCCCTCCTTTTGGGGCACTTCTGCAAACCTTGGAATTCTTCCATATTGGCAGATAGGAAAAGCTAAATATTTGACAAAACTACAAGTCCCAGAATTCCACAGCATTGAGCTATGGCAGTTAAACTGCATTGATGCTGCAATGTAGACACAGCCTTAATTTGCACTGAAAAGAGCTGATGAACGGTTTCCATATGCATGCACAGCCAGGGCTGCCTGAAGCAGTAAATGATGGGAATGGTAGTGAAGTGCTGGAGGACCAAGCTCTGTAGGGAGTGTGGCCTGTTCAGCATACTCTAAGGTATTTTGGTCCAGGACTCTGTGCCACTGCTAATGACCAATACTGATCATGTTGGTTAGAGCACTCTAGGAGTTGTAGTTCTCAAAAGGAACTTCCCCAAAATCATTGTGCATGTAATATTTAAACTGCCAGTCCAATTAGATTCTGTAAGCTGAATGGTGGGACACCATCTTGTCCTTTGCCATAGGTAGCAAAATTTCCTGGGCTAGATTTGTGTTCATCCTTTGATGAAAACAACTTCCTTGAGGTGTAAACCAAACAAAATGAGACATTTAACAGCACAGACAAATTTTTCCTCACACATGTCATTCAAATGACTACTCTTTTACACAGTATACAGGAAAAGTACACAAGTAAACTAGTTATGTATCATGTAATACTGATTCTTTGTGCTAAAGGTATAAACGCAAAGAAATGTATTCAACATCCTTACATTCAGCAATAATGTAACGCCGGTGATTCTGTCAAAGCTTTGGTTAATACCTGGAACACCGATCTCACCAAGGCTATCGACATGAGCGCTCCCAAGCGTCCTTTCCAACCCGCTTCAAATCGTAGGCCATGGCATACATCTGAGTTTAGAAAAATGAAGCGGGTTGGACAGCAACTAGAGTGCATCTGGCGGAAAATTCAACTCATATCCCACAAGACTCGTCATAGGAACTTTCTTTGGGCCAATTGAGAGGCAATACGTGCAGCGCAGAGGGCCTTCTTCTCTGCAAGTTTTGTGTCTGCAGAGTCTCGTCCAGCGGAGCTGTTTAGGGCGGTAAGGGAACTGACACAGGATCCACCTGCGCAGAACCCATTGCTTAACCCAACAATAGCCTGCTATGATGCATTTAACAACTTCTTTGCAGATAAAATCTCTCAGATAAGAGCCGACTTAGATGCCAGTATTTTGACAGAAACAATTGATGAGGTGTCCAGCAATTCCGTTGATGTAAATTTACTGGATTGATTTCAATCTGTGAGTATTGAGGACGTGGACAAGCTACTGGGTAGTGTGCGGAAGACAACTTGCTGTCTTGATCCTTGCCCATCATGGCTGGCCGTCCGGGGGGGGGGGATGCATTGAGGGTGTTTCTTAAGGACATTGTAAATGTGTCCCTCAGGGAAGGTCATGTTCCATTATGCTTAAAGGAGGCAGCAGATAGGCCGCTTCTGAAAAAACCTTCCCTGGACATGAACAACTATAGGCCGGTCTCTACGTTACCATTCATAAGCAAAGTGATTGAGAGGGCGGTTGCTCTTCAACTCCAAGTAGTCTTGGATGAAACCGATTATCTAGACCCATTTCAAACTGGCTTTAGGATGGGATTTGGGGTTGAAACTGCCATGGTTGCCTTGACCGACGGCCTGCATCTGAGCATTGACAGGGGTAGTGTGACCCTGTTGGTGCTTTTAGACCTCTCAGCGTCCTCTTGGACTGCCTGAGGTATCCAGTGGTTCCAGTCCTTCCTCTCGGGCAGGTCCAAGAGGGTGCCGCTCGGGGACAGTTGCTCCAGTAAGAACGAGCTTACTTGCGGTGTTCCACAAGGCGCCATCCTGTCCCCGATGTTGTTCAACATTTATATGAAGCCACTGGGTGAGATTATCTGGAGTTATGGGGCTGGGTGTTATCAGTATGCTGATGACACCCAGATCTATTTCGCCTTATCTTGATCGTCGGCCTCGAATTCCAATGGCTGGATGAGGAAAAATTCGTCGGCCTCGAATTCTCAATGACTGTCTTCAGGCAGTAATGGGCTGGATGAGGAAAAACAGATTGAGACCGAATCCAGACAAAACGGAAGTGCTCACGGTGGCGGCCCCGTAACCAAGGATTGGGTTGCAACCTCCAGTCCTGGATGGGGTCACACTCTCCATGAGGGACTGTGTTTGCAGTCTGGGGGTACTCCTTGATCTGTCGCTTCAGATGGCTAGTCAGGTAAATACGATGCTCAGGAGTGCCTGTTATCAGCTTCGGCTGATATGCCAGCTGCACCCTTTCCTGGAAGTAAGGGATCTTGAGTCCGTGGTGCACGCGCTGGTAACCTCCCGTCTAGATTTCTGTAATGCGCTCTACATGGGGCTACCTTCATGCTTGGTCTGGAAACTTCAGTTAGTACAAAATATGGCAGCTAGAGTGGTCTCTGGTACAAAATACTCCTGTATTAAAATCTCTTCACTGTCTGTCTGTCAGTTTCCGGGCCCAGTATAAGGTGTTGGTTTTGACCTTTAATGCCCTAATTGGCTTGGGTCCAACTTATTTTTGGGACCGCCTCCTCCCATATAATCCTCCCCGCACACTCCGGTCCTCTGGGAGGAATCTGCTACAGCCAATGAAAACCAGGCTCTCGACAACCTCCCAGAGGGCTTTTTCCGCCATTGCTCCCAAATTATGGAATGGCCTGCCGGATGAGATCTGTCAATTGACAACTTTAAACAGTTTTTAAAAAGCTGTTAAGACGGATCTCTTCCGGCAGGCCTTCCCTAATTAGTTTTCTGGCCTCAGGAGTCCTTTTATCCCTCCTACATTTGGTTTAAATGCTGCCCTGCCTATTGTTGTTTGTTTGATTATGGTTTGTTTTAATTATGTGGTTGAATCATAGTTTTAATGTAAAAATTGTTTAATTCTTTTTAAGGGGTGGGGGGGGCTTTGGGATTTGGATGGTATTTTAATATGGTATTTTAATACTGTATGATGTTTTTAAATTGTGAGCTGCCTTGATTGCATGACAGAGGGGCGGGATATAAATAAAATTTATTATTGTTGTTGCTGTTGTTATTATTATTATTATTATTATTATTATTATTATTATTATTATTATTATTAATTATTTCCAAATATTTTAAGTATAAAATTATATAACAGAGCCAGTGTGGTGTAGTGGTTTGAGTATTGGACTAGGACTCTGAAGACCAGGGATCAAATCTATTCTCACTCATGGAAACCTAATGGGTGACCTTGGACAAGTCACATGCTCTCAGCCTCAGGGAAAGGCAATGGCAACCCCTCTCTGAATAAATCTTCCAAGAAAACCCCATGATAGGTTCACCTTACGGTCACCATAAGTCGGACATGACTTGAAGGTACACAACAACAACAACATAAAAGAGGTATTTCCTCTTTAATTCTGTACTGAGGTTAGAACTGCAGAAACAATTAGGAAATTGCTGACACAGTAGACTTTCTGGTATTCAGGTAACTGAGAATACAGTGGTTTGATGTCACTGCTAAACCCCAAACCTCCTCCCCATTGTGTTTCTTAATGGATTTTTCTAATTTCCTCTACAGCTAAAAGAGGCAGCGAAGCCTGTATAATTCGACAAGAATGTAGATGTTTAGGAGGACTGAGGGGATTTTACAAGCTAAAAGGAACTATCAAAAATAGGCTCTAATGATATAATCTGCCTCAGTGTGCCATTAGGATGATATGACTCTGATCAAAAGCAAGTAGTGGGAACTTAATAAAACTGGCTATTTTTATAGGGTTCTCCATTACTTCAGGCTATTTTACTTCAAGATACTACTCAGAAGAGTGAGAAATTATACACCAGGGACTGGCAACCTACGACCTGGGAGCCGGTTAAGGCCCTGGTCCCTGGACTTACCGGCCCAGGCCAAAGGTTGCTGCCACCGCTGCCGTGGCGCGTTTTTGCCGCTCTGTGGCCGCACTCACCGTGACCGCCATTTTGAAAATCAAAATGGCGGTCCCGATGCGTTTGTGCATGTGCAGTACTCTTGCGCATGCGCAAACGCGCCACAGCCACCATTTCGATTTCCAAAATGGCGGCTGCGCATGCTGCGGCGGTGGTAGCGTGTGCAGGGGGGTTGCGCGCGGCAGCCGAGGGCGCGTGCGTGCATGTGAGTGCGCGCACCGCCATTCCCCCCCTCAGCCCAGGCGAGACCTGGGCTACGGGAGACCAGCCCAGGTCTTAAAAAGGTTGCCTTCCCCTGTTATACACCTTCATGTTGAATTCAACTTCTCAAAGAACAACCAGGGCCTCATCTGCACTGCAGGAATGAAGAAATTTGATACTACTTGAACTGCCATTGCTCAGTGTTATGGAATTCTGAGATTAGTAGTTTTGTACTAATATTTAGCCCTCCGTGTCAGAGAGCGCTGGTGTCTCTCTAAGCTACAAATCCCAGAATTCCATAGCATTGAGCCGGAGCAGCTAAAATGGTGGCAAATTGCATTATTTCTGCAGTGCAGATGCAGCATACTGAGGAGCATCAGACATGGGATTTATAACTTTTTTAATTTGTGGGACTCTATTGACAGGAAGAGTGGAAGCCATAAAAATGATGGTCCTCCCTAAAATGAACTTTTTGTTCCAATGCATTCCAATTATTCATAATAAGAAACCATTTAAAGAATGACATAGAGATTTAATTTGTGGGACTCTATTCAGTGTTTGCTGGGGTCAGAACATAGACTATTATTTTTACATGGTGAGATGTTCCTTGTTATCTATTTCCCCTTCAGATTTATGCATTAGTTATTACTCCTTGCTTAAACAGCCACATGATTTTTTTTTAAAAAATGTATTATAAAACAGAATGCGTGGCACCCTTTTCAGTAATTATGATGTTGTCAATCTGCTTCACAGTATACAGTTCACTTTTATGGTTGTTGTCCGTGCAATGACCCAAAGTTCCCTCAAAATCTACCTTTTCAGCATCAAAACCCCCCCCCATCATTATTTCCCCACTGCTGGAGAGTGGGAGCTTTGCAGAAACACATCCAGTTCTCTACCTATAGTAAAAAGAGCTTGACACATCCTTGCTCAACTCCTACTCTCATGGAAACAGCCATGTTATGGGGAGGGCTGTACTGTGAAAATGTAGGGAGTTCATCACACGGGGAAAACTGGAAGTTTAAACAAGAAAAAACCCACAATTATCCAGCATATTAGGCACAATTGCACAAACGGTTTTCACGTGACATTGCGTGCAAACCACATAGAATCTGACAAGAAAGTTACATGAACCAGCAAATAGGCATTTTCGGGAAAATATTGTGAATTGGTTTTCGTTTCATTCACAATATCACTTTTTGGGTGCAACTGCTATAGTGTGAAAGCTATTTCTCCCCATTTTTGTACTTGTTGCCAGATTTCCCACAGTTCTTTGGGGCGAGTTTACTTCCAGTGCTGCTTTGTTGTGCTGAAAGGGATGCAGCCTTTTATGCTTCAGCCAGGGCTCTTAAAGGAACAGATGCTGAGGCAAAAGCAGGGACACTCACATACACAGAGAAAAACCTTGCATGACTCTCTTTGTGTGAATGTCTCTCCTCCTCCAGCCTTCCTCATTAGCCAGGGCTCTTAAAAGAACAGCTGCTGAGGGAAGGCAAGGATGCAGCAAGAGAGACTTTTTGCTAGCCTTCCTACTTTTTTGGGTAATGTTTTGTTCTTGTTCTTTTTACTTAGGTTAGGTACCATTTCTTGGAAAGTAAGGGATAGTAAAGTACATTTTTATAAAGAAAATTGTGTAACTAAAATTGTTTTTTTTTCTCTGAGTGATTTCTGTGTGCATGTGCAAAAAAGTTATTTCCAAACCATCAATGGATTTGTCTGCATCTGTGTGAAAACCAAATGCGCTTTCTACCCACTTTCTTGCATTAGTAATGAGCTTTTAACATGTTATTGTGCTGTGTGTGTGAAAATCATTCGTGCATTTGCTCACTTTTCTGGGATGTGGATGCTTTAGTCATTTTCAAGATGGAAGCACATAGGTCCCTGTGTGATAAACTCCTCTACGTTTTGGGGGAGACATAGCTACAGAGAAGCAACTATGTTTCTGTCACTACATCTCCTAATGCAGGATCTGGGCTTTTGATCCATTGCTTTTAAAAACAAAAGGCTGAAGCAGGAGATGTAAAGCTCCACATGGATGAAACAATGACACCTCTATCCCTAATTCCACTCAACTTGCCTTTTGCAGCCACCCCCTCCAATGTATTATTTGATCCCTTCATCCCAAGCCATCTGCACTTCCCACTTTGTTTGGCAAGAACTCACAGCAAGGCATTAAGAATGGAGGCTAGAATAGGCTATGACTCACCGTAATGGCGGGTGCAGCAAAAGCCAGACTGAGCAACATCAAGAAAGGAACAGCCTCTTGGGAAGGCTCAATGTATGGCATACTCAAGCTCCTGTCATAGCAGCTGAATCCAGAGTGAACTGGCTTGAAGACATCAGTAAGCTCGAGGAAATAGAGGCTAACAACAGAAGATGCCAGAATAGGTAACTGAAATGGAAAGACAAGAAGGAGTTGTCAAGAGCAAGGCATATACTTTGTGCTTGATCTGCAATCACATTAATGTTTGGGTCTAAGGTCTATTGTTAGTCCCAACTAGAATAGATGCATTGGGCCAATGGGATTTACTTATGCTGAATGCATCTATTCTGTAGAAATAATGCAGTTTGACACCATTTTAATTGCCATTGCTCCATTCTACAGAATCCTGGGATTTGCAGTTTTGTGAAGCCCAGCATTCTTTGGCAACGAAGGCTAAATACCTTGTAAAACTATAAATCCCAGAATTCCATAGGATGGAGCTACAGTAGTCAAAGCAGTGTCAAACTACATTATTCTTACAGTGTAGATGCAACCATTGACTCATAATTCTTCACTTGATCTGCTCTTGAATCTCTAAAGATTCAGGTCTTTAAATCTTTTCAAAAATCGATAGCTAATACATACATTTTGGCAGCTGTAGAAAGAAACAGCATGAAGACACACAAGCAACACAACTTCACAGCATTAAAATGTTTTATCCACTGGACTTTGCCATGCCAATTTTTTCAAAAAGATAATTTTGTAAGGGTAGATTTATTCTCTTCCCAAATATAAAACTATTAAAATGTATAGTGATGCTTCAAAAAAATGGCTATAAAAATTACATTTGCCAAGGGTTTCTAATTAAGCAATTTAAAAATTCAATTAAATAAATTGAATTGGAAACTTCTTGTGGATGTTCACTTGAAAGTAAGTGAGTTTTTACATGACTTGGCATCCCTTCTTTGTTTTGATTCAAATACAAACTACTAAATAAATTCAGTATATATGACCTATCAAATGCTACTTGTAGTCAGCAATCAGATGCAGGCATTAGCAAACATTTATAATGATTCCATAATTAGTATTAATACTGTCAAATACAGTAAAAAGGATCAGTCACAAAGAAAATGCTAATTATCAAATATTTTAATACAATTTCATCAGGTATCCAGTACAGGCATGGAATAGCCAAAAAGACTGAAGCTCAAAGCACCCACATCCAGTTCAAAAAAAGAGCAGTGGAAGATGAATACAAATACTCACACACACATAAATGGGGCTTAACTTAAAAACAAGTTTGATCAACACAAGTAGTTAATCTATTTCCATAAAAAGGTACAAAAGATTGTAACTAATAGTAATGACTGAAATTCTTTCCATGTGGCACTCACTGGTAGTAACAAATTCCCTTTGCCAATATAGGACTCAGATACTGATGTCTCTTCCTCACCACTGCCACTTTTAAAAAAAGCATTTCCTGTTGATCCAAGTTAAAAGTACACAGAGCTGCCCAAATGAAAACTGGAAACAGTTCCTGTTCCTTGAATAGTTGTGTTGAAAAGGGAATTTCAGCACGTGCTGCTTGTTTCTTGGTTGCATGACAAGCACTTGCTGAAATCCCCTGTTCTTCATAAGCATTAGAGAGCCAGGGTGGCATAGTGGTTTGTGTGTAGGATCAAGTGTAGGATTATAACCTTGGAGGCTGGGGTTCGAATCCACAGTTTGGAAATCCACTTGGGCAAGTCACACTCTCTCAGTCTCAGAGGATGACCATAGTAAACCACCTCTGAAGAAATGTGCCAAGAAAGCCCTATGATAGGTTTACCTTAGAGCAGGGGTCGGCAAGTTCCCTTTACCTGGGACCAGTCCGGG